AGAGAAAAAGTGGTTTTCCTTTTATTAAGTATTATTGCACAAGTAAAACTATATTCCCACATTGTTTGCTTTCGTATAATTTGTGTGGTAACTAAGCTTTGACAAATGTCTTTTTTGTCACTTGAATGGTACAATTTTTTGCATTTAGTAATCTCCTGTAAATAGTAATTAATTTTTAAATACAGTAAACATTTTATTTTGTAATGGTTAGTTTTTAACTGTAGAAAACCATTCCTTACTAGGTTATCAATACCTTAGAGCAGACATACATCTGATGTACATCTGATTACCCTATATGCATAATTTGAAGTTTATTCTGTAGGTAGGTTTTTATGACAAATGCTAACTGGAGAGAACAATGCAAAGGCATGTATTTGCAAACTTAAGTATCAAATGTTGTCATTTATTGAATAATCTCACTGATACCACGTTGTAAAGTGAAGTATTGTACAAACAATTCTGTCATTTCAGGGAAGATCAGTAGTACATTTAGGAGCTGAAGGTAATAGATAGAGCACTTACGCATTTGTTAATAGTTTAATGAAGCGTGGATTTAAAGAAAGATGATCTCGGGAAACAACTAATGGTTGAGTCTTGTGGGAAAGATAATTCATAAAATGCATAAAAACGGGCATCCCAACTGACATTACTGCTGCCCAAGGTCTATCATCAGTGACAAAGCTGGAAATGAAAGATACTTAAGGTGGCAGCTTGGATTTCTTGTGATAGAGAGGAAAAGAAATTTCCTTTCTCTTTGCTTTTTAAATATAAATGTAACAGAGGAGCAGAAACTATTCTAGCACATTGTTGTGTTTGTTGGTTTTTTTGTCCCCAGAGTGTTTAATGAGATTATACTTGTATATATCTGGAGATGGCAGAAAGGCACTATTAACTACTCCTACAGCATGTGTCTTTTTGTGGGAGAGCACAGAACATGAAAATACATCATCTTGTAAAAGTTCTTCTTCTGGGCGTTGGACACAAATTTTGCCTGATGAATCAGTCTTGTTGCCTTCTACTGAAGAAAAAGAAATTGGAGTGCATGCTGCCTTTATACAAAATGAGGTAAAAATAAGCCCTAAAGCAATCATTTAATCTCTTAAGTAAATTAGAGCCACAGAAGCTACAGTGAATTTTGAGAGCGATGTCTGCCTCTTTGGTGTTGTGTGTAGGCTTAATTGTTCAGTTCATACTAGATTTAATGACAACATAAGAACAGCCATACTGGATCAGATCAAAGTTCATCTCGCCCAGTAATATTCTTGCCAGCCTTTATATTTCTGAATGACATCATTATGTTATTTAATCTGAATCGTAATAGCTGTTGATCTAAGTATATAAATAAGTAAAGAGAAAATTGCATGTAACCTGGTTTTTGGGTTGTTCTGGTTTTGGTTGTGTGTTTGGTTTTTTTGTTTTTTTTTCCTTCCCCACAGGTACTGGGTGATTGCTGCCTGTGCTCTTTTGTGTTTTACTCTGGTGAATGTTTGGTGCTCACATTTTTGATTCTTCGATGGCATGAAAATAGCTTTAAATATGTTAGGTAAGTTCAAAGATATTTGAATTTACATTAGCTTAAGAGGAACACTTTTATTATGAAGTGCTTTAGAGCTGGGATTCAGGGCTGCCATTGAACATGTTTACATTGATGTCCAATTAGCCTATGGTTACAGGCACCTACTTATGTTTGCATATCTATGTTCATAGCGAGCCACATTGACCATATATGTCCATATATGCACATACATTTTCAAGTATTTAAATGTGGTTAATGTAACAGCATTTACGTATGTATTCCATAATTCATTAGTAATTTACACCTAAATAAAGCTGAGTGTATTTATCACTGTATGTAGGTGGCTATGTATACATACACATGCCTGCATGCACGTGTGTTTGTGTCAAGAGAGTTTTTTGCATCATGCTAATAGACTTTCCTTTTCTTGTTTTTTCTTATATTACTAGTGCATACTGTGCAGTCATGAAGGCCCTGAATACCTTTTTCTCTTCTTCATTATGCATATTTCTATATTTTATTTGTTTTCTGTTTGCCTTTTCATCTCTTATGCCTAGACTATGTGAGAGTGTGTGTGCGCACTTCTTTTTCTGGGCTGGGACCATGTACTGCAGTAGTTACACTGATACAGTCACTTAAAAATGCAATTGAATAATAATCCTGAGTACACGTATAGTCCATTCCCCTTCCTAAGTGAGATATCCATTTAAACTCATACATATGTGTATGTCCTCTGCAGGTATGACTTGAGAAACTTGCTAAAATTTTGCCCTACACTTGACGTGGTACAACTGTTTTTGTTAAATGATGCCCTTTTGATACTAACTTAGTAGTGATGTCCCCCTTGCCCTACCATGCGACATCACTCTTCATTCAGTTTGTCAGTAGCATGGTAAAGCCTTTCTGGTAATATAAAAAATGAAATAGAGCATAACATTCCCAGTATAGAAGTACATATATGTACTGTAGTACTTGCAGCCTGAAATTGTAACCACATTTCTCAGCCATGTTATTCATAATTTCTTTATGCCAGCTGTTGCTCAGTTTCATTGCTTACTATTGTTTAATTCATTTTTTCATGTTAATGCTTTATTTTTTTCAGTTAGGTGGCATGCTTCCAAGTGGAACCTGTCTTGTGCTTTCTATCATGTCTTGAATCTCTTTAGGATCATGGAAGGTTTTGGGTTGGAAGGCACTTTTACAGACTGTCTAGTCCAATGCTCCTGCCAATGGCAGGAACAACTTTCACTAGATCAGGTTGTTGGAAGCCCAACCCAACCCAACTTTGAACACTTCCAATGATGGGGCATCTGTAACTTCTTGGTTCAGAGCAGTATACTGTTGATTTTCATTTTTGAATTCTGAGTATTCCTGTGTTCCATGACATTGCAATGTCTGAGGAAGCTGTTCCTGGCTAGAATGCAACTGCCTTAATTATATGGCATACATCTATATTTGCATGTTCTATACATATAGCCCAAATTCCTGTCCCGTAAAAATAATTCTCAGTGCTCAGACATAATTGTAAAACTCATGTAAATACGAAATATTTTTCATTTGTAAGGTTTTTGAAGAAAAACAGTTTGGTTTTTTTTATTGTTCATGCTTTACATGTTTTTTTCTTGCCTGGTTTTTTACTATGTATGAATCATCCCATTCAGCTTAACTGAGTAATCTCTTGGTTTTGTTGTCTTTTTTTTGGTATTCAGTCCTTTGCCATACCAGATCCACTGGGTGCAGCAGACTTGTTCTCTTGTTGATTTGGTTCCTCGGTGTGCGTCTGTAAAGTCAAGAGGAGCTTTGCTATGCGCGTTTGCAAGAGATGGACTCCTACTTGCAGTAGCTGTTAATCAAACTGATCCAAAGGTATGAATGATAGGCAGTATGTCATTTAAGCTAATAGTTCAGCTTTAATGAAGTGGTAATGAGGATTTAATAACACATTTTTAGGAGTGATTTTTCAGCGTTTTTATTGATATATGTGATTATATTCACATTGATATCCATAGCTAAAAAGTTCTGCCACAACTTGCAATTTTTTGAATGCTGTTGTTCAGCTAAGAGATCCATGTAAGCACCTCTGTCATTTCTAATCTCCAAGAAATACAATAATAAAGAAATTAATTTCAGTTTCTGCATTGTATCTGCAAAGATTGTTGGATTATTCCCCATCAGGCCTTGGCCTAACATGTATTGGATGTTATGTTCCCACTTCATAATGTTATGCCTTCTAACAACTCAGAGGGCAAACCTTAATGTAGTTTTTAGCACTAATGATGATAGGGAATATGGGCCAGCTTATTTAGTGTACCAGGATGGGATGATGCAGTCCGTCAAGGCTCCAGTTGTTATTCACCAGCAAGACTGGAGAAGAGTGATCTTATATTATTTTGAGAGTTTTAGAAAAAGTTATGTTGAAGAGAATATTGACTAGTATGTTGAGTATATAATAATCTTTAATTATTTTTGAAATGTAGAAATAGGTATAGAAATCAATAAATACTCTAAATAGGAATAAATATTGAAGTGCAATGTCACTTTCATGTATAATGTTTCCAGTACATCGGGTGTAATGCATAACTTGCTAACAGAAATTGTTTTTACAGTAATGACATTTTGATACAAACATTTGTGTTGTCTTCATGTTTACTTTTTCTTTTTAGGCAACTCAGATTTTGTTTATAAACACATTGAATTTTGTAACTGTTTCGGCTAGCCTTAAAGGTTGTAGTAGCAAGAATAGCATGGTCCCATCCAAGTTTATCAGGTCAGTAATTGATGTTGTTTCTGCTGCTGTTGTGGAGTTTTAGATTTTATGTTGTGGGGTTATTTTTGCTGTTGTTTTTTAACTATCCTAACCTTTTGATGCAGAAATCTGACAGAGAAAAGTATTTTTTTTTTCTGCTCAATTTAGATCTTACTGGGTTGGAGATATGAGTTGGACTCCTAATAGCCTTTTCTTGGCTTGCATGTTAAAACGTGGATCTTTGATTTTATTGACATGTATGGGTGAATTGCTGACTTTGATTACTTCTGGCTGCTCTGTAGAATTTGGACCAGCAGAGTTCATTCCATTTCATCCACTAATAACATGCAGGTAAAAGAGTTTGAAAATGTTTATATGTTTTTGTCACATGGTCCCATTGTACTTTCTAACATACTTTTTTACAATTTTACCTAATTTTCATCTTTCAAATTCACTCTTTTGCTTTTTATCTGTCTTCTCAATATCTTTTTCTCATTCATAGTTCTCTTCTATTTCTTATAATGCGTTTGTCGTGATGAAAATTGGCATTGTGACAATGTAAGTATGCATTAAGTGATTTGTTTTTTTAAAAGTGTATGAATTTAGTCGTAATTAAAAATAACATGTTTTTACGATGTAAGAAGAAATTAAACTTACAGAAGCACTAACAGTGCAGATTTATTTTAATCCAGTGTTTTTTCTTGGCTCACTATTTAATTTTACCTATAGAACTTCATGTCACATTTCAGATCTTGTAAATAACATGTTTGCATGTACAAAAACCAGTTAGCTTTTAAAGTGGGTTTTTTGGGTACTCCAGATCTAAATTTTGAAATTATGCTGCTGGGTGCATGGGGGAATAGCAGGCTCTGTGGTAACACTGTTTAGCATAAATTGAAAGTTACAAGAAGTAGCAGAGTCTGAATAACTAGAGGAAACAAAATAAAATCTAAACTTTAATTATTTTTTTTTTTTAAATCCTATTAATTCTGAGTGACTAAAGCCAGATAGCGTGTAAATGTAACATCTCATGAAAACATTCAAAGCATTATAATACCTTCTTACACAGTCTGGGTGAAAAATCAGATACTAAAACATATGAAAATACCTTAATTACAGTTATTTATTGAATGTATGCAACTACTTTGTTTTAAAATAATCTACTAACTTTTGGACTGCTAAGAAACAAAAAAACCCCAGTAATTTTACACATTATTTCAAAGTATTATTGGGCTAATATTAGAATACATGCACAACACAGCTTTCTGGAACTCAGTAAGGAGTGATTTCTTTATAAGAAAAGACTTTGTAAGACCTCTTCTGTAACAGAAGATTTGTGTGTTGATAAATGTTTCTGTTGAATGTCTGAACTGATTCTGAAATACTAAGATTCAGATCTTGAGGAATTTTTTGCTTTTCATACAGGACTTTATTTGAAGCCACTTAGAATTTCATTTTCAAGCACTTGTCATGTACAATAAGAGCTGGATAAGAAACCGTGATGTAGAACTGTAAAGTAAAATTGTCAAAAAATAAATATAATAATTATTAATGAAAAAATAGAAGAACACTGAAAGCTGGTTTTATTTTTCTTTAAACTTAAAAAGTTGCAACGGCAGCAAAATGCTGGCATCTTGCAAACATAAATAGTGTTATTCAGAGTGCTCAGCCTGCAAAAATTTAGATACTTCCTCAGAATTCTGAACGGACCTGTTGAGACAGTAGTGTGAGTGGTATTAAATGTTTATAAGTTATTTCTTCGGTATTCTATTAATGACTATTACATATCGTAGTTGCTTCTTACTTTTTGATGTTTATTTTAGACAGCAGCAGTCTTTTTGTCAAGACTCTAGTCAGTCTCTTGGTTCTTCAGCTTCTGAAAGTGACTTTATGAGGCAGAGATTCTCTGTTGCTTCACATTCAAGATTACCCTACCTCATTGTCTCTGATGGATACATGATAACAGTGCTTAGATTTCCTAACAATCTTGCGCCATCAGGATTTATAAGATCCCTTTTGCTTGATTCAACCCAACGGCTTGAAAATATTCGTCAGAATTTGCTGAACTCCAAGGTAGAGTTATGAATTATTTTGTAGGCTTTAAGTAAAAAACTTCATGTGTATAAAAATGCGTAATTTTTAAACTGAGTACCTCAGTTTAGTTTACTGTGATATTTGTATAAATTCCTTTGAATTATAAAGTTGTTTTGAGAATAGCGTTGATCGGGAAAACAATGAATACACAGTTTTCTCTGAAATTTTATTCTTTTGATGTCTGGGTGACATTTCAGTAAAATGTAGTAAAGGAAAGAGTCTTAACTGTCACTATATATTCTTTCTGGAACTGTAAAAGAAATTGGGATTTCTGTATCTATAGAGTTGTTTCAGAGCATTGACGAATATTATGCTGCTCTGACCAACTCATCCTTCCAGAATGATGCAGAAAGGATCGTGTAAAACCTCTCTATCTTAGGCTGCTGCTGTATTAGAGCAGTCATCAACAGTCCTAGTAGTGCTGTATGCATATGTCCACTGTGTCCTCAATGGAGGTTGTCCATTAATGCTTGCTGAAAGCATTTTTGTTTATTTTTCTGTCACTTCTAAATTGAGCTGAGTCTGGGAGAAGGGAAGCCTTTGAAGAAAGAGGTCCTGCAACTATTGCCAACCACATAAGATGTAATAGATACTAAGTTCAGAATTTTTGTGTTTGCTGAAGGAATACAACTTCTCTTCGAATTCAGTTTGTATGTTGGATAAGTGAGTTGTGATGGTATTCATGGATAAACTAGAAGGGGATTTAAGGAGATATGTTACTAGTAAGAATGCAAGAAAGCCGTGCATACTGGCAAACTTGTAGGATCATTTCAGGGATGAAGAAAGCAGATTCTATCAGCATGGAGCAAAGTAAAGTTGTCTGGTGGTGAGAAAATTCTGCATTCCTGAAGCATGGTTAAATGGTAGTTTGTTTCTGTGCAACTAATGCCCACTGACCTGTTCTCCCTTTCTGTCTGGGACTTCTAAACTGAAGCTGTTCACAGAAGTGGCCAATTTCCTTGTTCTGTTTAGAAAGTGTCTGGTTTGATCTTGCTAGATATAGATTATATGTTTTGTATTATTGTTATTTCTTTTAGCCTAAAGGGAGACCTCCGTGTTTACGATCACTGTTGTCATTAAAAGCTAGTCTTTTAAAACATGCTCAAAACCAAATTTCCGGCTTTTCTACCATTCCGAAATTCCTGGAAGAGGACACAACAGAAATGAGTGAGAAACCCATGGATTTACTGGTACTTACTAGCATTTTTCCACTTATAATTATGCAAATTAATTAATTTTAAGGTATTCTAAATATAAAGAATAATTTTTTCAAATAATATATGTATATTTGCTTTTGCAATGTACATTTAAAGTAATTCAATATTGGTTAAATTCTCATTTTCTTTATAGGTGCGAGGACTATGGTTATTTTTCTCAACTGACACTTGATTTTTATTTTCAAACATCTTACTTCTTTCAGCAGTGCATTAACGTTTTGAAAAATGGGTACTAATCTACATATACATCAGTTTATTGTAGTTTAATACTTCAGCTTCACTTTATAATAAAATGTAACATTACATTACTAGATATACTGGGGCTCTAAAGTATATTAATAAGAAGTACAATATTATTATCCTTAGTAAATAAGATATTTATCCTCAATTTTAGAGGATTCTTCCATCAATTCCAAAATTTGTACATGTCTTTTGAAAGAATGACTCTGTGATCAAAGTTACTGTGCAGCCTTTCCCAACTCCGTTTCATGCTTTTGGGTTTTGATTTGTTCTTTCAAGTTTTTGAGCTTTTGTTGAGTGGCTTTTATATCTCACAGGTATCTGGCAAAAGCTCTTCCTCATACTCTGGGCTTAATAAAGGACAGGGTTTCACTTTCTGGTATAAAAACTACTGCTGTGTTTACAGTGTAATTTTTTTTTTGTTGTTAGGTAATTTAATTTCTGTCTGCAAAACTATTCCAAATAGCCATGTTTAGTTTGAGATCTAGATGAAACTGCTGTGAATTAAACTTATTAGCAATTAAGCAAGTAAATTAAGCATAAAAAATTTATTTGTGAGATTGACTAAATGGTGATTTCTTGCAGGCTATGTTTTCTCTCAATAGACTTTAATTAAACTGTTGATTTGGTTTTTTGTCTGCTTTAGGATTATGAAGAAGAATCAGATGATGAAAAGCAGTTTTGCAATAGCCCTTCCAGCTTCTATAGCCAAAGAATCCGTTCATTTCTTGGTAAAGCTGATGAAGGCCACCTAGAATTTGCATCAATGTTTGATACTATCCATGCAAAAGACAATGCTGAAGAGAAAGATAAATTATCAGTGGAACTATATTCAGTTCAGAAAAACCTCCTTGCTGCATGGCAGATAGGGATTTCAAAAAACATAGAAGAGAAAGATACGTTGCTGAATTACACAGTGAACTGCATTACCCATTCTTTCAACATTCTTCAGTTTGTGAAATGTTCTTTGCTAAACCAGGATACATCTTTAAACAAGTCTGTGAAGAATACTCACTGGATGCATTGTGTCCTAAAATATTTTCAGCAGTGTTTAACTGTCTTGTACTGGCATTCAAGAGCCAGTCTGACTGGGCACGTCGCAAAGCTGACATTACAAACTTTAAAACTGATGCTTACACAGCAACAAGATCAGTTGTTCTCAAAACACCTTTTGGCATGCTTCTGTCTTTTAAAAATGGTTTCTCACACCCTGAGTAGCGTGTGCATACTACAGTATGAGAATTTTTTTGCATCTCCTCGTGGTAATAGTCTCGTGGAACTTGACTCCCTCATTGTGCCTATTTTCCTAGCTCTTGATGACAGTAATACTCAGCAATTCAGCTCACTGAAATCATTGCTTAGAGAGCCTCCTCGAGCAGTAAATCATGATGCAAAAACAGAAAAAAGGTATGAATGATCTTTGGGGGAAAAAAAAAACCAAAAAAACCCAGGATAACCAGGCAATCAGGCCCAGTCAGCATGGGTTTATGAAAGGCAGGTCCTGCTTCACTAACCTGGTCTCCTTCTATGACAAGGTGATCTGCTTAGTGGATGAGGGAAAGGCTGTGGATGTTGTCTACCTAGACTTCAGTAAAGCTTTTGACACCGTTTCCCACGGCATTCTCCTGGAGAAACTGGCTGCTTATGGCTTGGACGGGCGTACTTTTCCCTGGGTAGAAAACTGGCTGGCTGGCCGGACCCAAAGAGCTGTGGTGAATGGAGTCAAATCCAGCTGGTGGCTGGTCACAAGTGGTGTTCCCCAGGGCTCAGTACTGGGGCCAGTTCCATTTAATATCTTTATCAATGATCTGGATGAGGGGATCGAGTGCAGCCTCAGTAAGTTTGCAGATGACACCAAGCTGGGTGGGAGTGTTGATCTGGTGGAGGGCCGGAAGGCCCTGCAGAGGGACCTGGACAGGCTGGATCAATGGGCCGGGGCCAGCTGCATGAGGTTCAACAAGGCTAAGTGCCGGGTCCTGCACTTGGGTCACAACAACCCCATGCAACGCTACAGGCTTGGGGAGGAGTGGCTGGAGAGCTGCCTGGCAGAAAAGGACCTGGGGGTGCTGGTTGACAGCCGCCTGAACATGAGCCAGCAGTGT